TTTTTTTTTTGTAGAACATAAATGGAAAAAATGGTCATAGTATGTTTCTTCTTTCTATAGTGTCTATGTCCTAAATCAAGATACCTACGTATAGCTATTTCCGCATTGCTTTCCATTGAACGAAATTCAAATTCCGACCCTGGGGATTGATATATTAGATAAACGCATGCTAAGTACCAACACCATGGGAATTCAAACAGCTATAATAATCGCAGATTAGTTACAAACTTACCGAAAATAAAATTTCAAATATATTAATATGCGATTAATTATTGCAAATTATGTTTCGCATACTAATCTCATGTTTTAGTAGCAAAATAAACAATAATATTAGTTATGAGGATCACAGTTCCAACGTATCTCTTACGCAGTTTGAAAGAAGAATTTAAATTTACAATTTTAAAAATATTATTACTCTGCGGTCTATTCTAACGCGAAAACAGTCGCATAATGGATCGCATAGTTTGAGGCAATCAAGTTTTCGAACAGCCGTTTTTGCGATCCAATACCTGTATCTATTTGACAATCTGTCCTAACGCTTCATTTTTCTTTTATATTTAATAATAATTATGTGACGAATATGCGTCAGAAAAACTTGCGTGTAATAATCAAATATTAATTACGAACTTATAAAAATAAAAGTTTGAATAAATTAATGTGCAATTAATTTATGGTATTATGTTTCGCCTACTAATCACATATTTTAATGACTCACATTTTCCGAAGCAAACCCATTGGTATGAAAAGACCCTCGACCGGCTCGGTTTTGGCCTAATTTAATTGCCTCGCGGGTAGATTGTCCTTTGAGCCTTGCAAAAACTTGACAGCAAAGGGGTTTTTTTTGGTAAAGAACCTCCGATGTTTAAGTTAACACAAAAGAAGATGATGAATAATATGTAAGTGTGTAGAGATCATGTAATGTTCTAGTAAGAATACTTCACTCCCTTTTATAGGAAGTGTTACCCTGTTGCACAAAACTTCCTGAATTAGCTCCCTGAACTATCTGAACTGCCAATATGCCTGAACTGCCCAATTCTGTTACGCCACGTGGCCCTATCCACGTGTGGTCTTTATTTTTTTAACATTTCTTATTATCCACTTCTCTCTTGTTAGACTGCCTAATCACGCGACAGATCCTAACCACGTCGAGCTATAATGTTGCGCATGTTGAGCTCGCATGCCTTGCCTCGTGGCTGATCACACGACCGATCGCACCTCCAGGTCGAGTTTCCACCAGGCCGTCCGAAGATCCTAACTCGACATGTTAGTGTCCCTTTAAACCTCCTCGACCTAAAGTCACCTTGTTAGGTACTGACGTTCGACTTCTATTCGACCTATGTGTGCTCTCATTCGACCAACTAGTCCGCCCAGCCTGGTCAGTCGGTTTATCTGGTTTGTTCTACCTGGTTTGGTATCCCATATCATTTGGTCCCTCCCACTCTAGATTGAGCTAGGATAACTCGATCTAAGAGTAAATATTTGTCTTTGATATTGGTTGTTGGGTTCCAACCCTTACTTTCGACCTGTCTGCTCATGCTTCCTTTTATTTTGCACAGTCTTCGACCTCCTCTTGTGGTCTTCTATTTAGATTTTAAAATTCAAACCTCTATTTCTTTGTCAAATCCAATCAATCGCCTAGTCTTATCTACGGCATCACTCGGTAATTCGCACTGGCCTCGTACAACGTACCCATTAATGCCCCATAATGATGGTCGTTTGATTTACCTTTAATTCAACAGTTGAATTTATGTTGTCTTTTCAACTAGGTCGCCCAATCTCAAATGCTGATTACGCCCACGATCCAACATTTCCTTGTGATATGCCTTTTCGACTTTGCACTTTTTGACCTTGGTCGTTGATTTCGACCACCATCTGACGGTCCTGCTCAAACTGACCTTCCAACTCTCCCACTTGATCCTGACCGTTGTTGTCAACCATGATCCAACGGCCCAAGGTCGATCGACCTACGCGCCCCTTCGCCTATAAATACCCTTCTTGTCGAAAAAGTTCGATTTTCTACCTTTGCGAAATGTACCTGCTTATATGTCCCTTTTTACCTCACACGCTCGCTTTCCAATGGAATATGAGCCGCCGATGATCGAAGGTTGCGATAGTATTAAGTTGCAATTTAGTACAAAAATTCTTTGAGTTTGAAAAGCCAAATCGTTTACAAATAATTATTTACCTGGATAAATTAAAGCATTATAAAGAAAATAGTTTATTATTATTATTATTCAAAAAGAAACTAAAAGATTGCTAATAATGCTCTCGTGAGTCACTAGCCCACAGTTGCACACTTCTGCGTGTAGGAATCCGCCATGGGAGAAGACAACAATCAGAACTCCCAAGGTTTACACTCGGAACCGGTGAAGGGAAGAAGAGGGGAATCTCCAGATGAAAAAATGGCGAATAATTGGGATAAGGAGGAGCGAGTGAGTAGTGAAAGCAGGAGTGGTTGTGCCGTTGGGAACAGTTCAAGAAACGAATCAAAAGCATCTGAATTGGAAACCCTAACCTCCGTACAACTGTCTCAGGCTGCTTTAGCTGATTTTGATGAATCCTCTCACCGTTTGTCAGGTAGTAGCCTTCGTGCTGCGTTGTATTTTATTTTTTTTTAGTTATTTATTTTTTCAGCGTTTCAGTTGTGCATATCGCATATTTATCTACAGTAAGGAGATTTATTTTTTTTTTCAAAAAAATAAAATAAAATAAAATAATATGATATGTTGATTTTGTTGAATTTTATATTGTTGCAGAGGTTCCAGTGGAGTACTCTCTCCAACCGATACAATCAGATGAAAAATTGAAGGTCAGGAGTTAACTTGTATACATTTTTATTTTTTTATTTATTTTTTTTTTTTGGGATTTTACTTGGGTTGATCTTAGTTCTTAAAATCACTGTGTAATGCTGGAAAGATGAAAATGATCCAACCCTTTTATGTTACCAACTTTGTCTTGTGGTTGACCTGTTGTGAAACTGAATTTCATTATTTTCTTATTTCTCATTGTCAAAACTATAATGGAGTAGTTTATCCAATTTCATGAAGCCAAGTTGAAGAAAGACAATGTACTTTATAGTACCACAAGGATTTTCGACTTTAGAACATAAACCGACAGCCAAGATTCATGGTAGGGCGACGTTAATGGGATGGCTTGTATATCATTTGCAGTTGTTCAAAAACCAAATTCAGGCATGTGTTGAAGTGTAAAATATGCATGAATGAAAATAGAAGTAAATTAATGAATCATATGTTCAGTCTTCGTGTAATCAATGTCCCCAGCGCTTGTGTTCAATACACAACTGCTTATGTGAAATCCGATAATGTTTTCACATTTTTGTGGAACTTACCCTGCTGTTCCTCTCCTAGAGGTTGATATCTGCCCATGGTATATTATTATGCTTTTGGAGTAACAAAATTAATCATGTATATCTGATAATATCATTTCAACTTGGTGTTGTCGTCCCCTCAATCTTGTTTATTATTACCTCAGGAACAATCAAAAGCAGTGCACGATAAGTCTCTTGAAAGTGTTACCGGTGTAGCTTCAGAGGTTCAGAGATCAGTACCTAATGATCCTTCAGTGTCACCTGAATCTTTTGCTAAGTCTGTTTCCTCTATTCCGAATTTGTTTCTGGTAAAGGATGGGAACAAAACTAGCATTTCAGAAGGGGACAAGCAGAACTCTCCGGGTTCCAAACCTTTACCTATTAGAACTGTGCTGAAAACTTCTGACGGGTACAATTGGCGCAAATACGGTCAGAAGCAAGTGAAGAGTCCGGAAGGCTCGCGTAGCTATTACCGATGCACGTTCTCCGACTGTTATGCCAAGAAGATCGAGTTTTGTGATCCTTCTAACCATCTCATAGAGACAGTTTACAGAAGCCACCACAATCACGATTCTCTTCAGAAAGTAGATTGCACGAAAGAAAGTTTACCAGCATTACCTTCTGTTCCATTTAGTGGGGACAATGATTCATTTCGTCCAGTGGTAAGTTCAAATGATCCAGTGAAAGATAATATGTTAAAACAATCTATACCTCGACCTAGTGAGATGCGTGAGACAAGGAAGCAGGAGTCAAATGATTCTGTTGAGACCACAGAAGTCAATATGGAGGAGTATGTTGATGGAGCAGAATGTAGAAAAAGGCACGTCACTAGTTATGCTAATGGTTAACCATTTTTTGCTATTGTGCTATTTCCATATTGAGCGCTGTACGTATACTTCTAATATCTTTCATCTTTAAAAAGGCAAAAGAGAAAGTCTTCTGATGATCTGGAATCCATGCCTAAACCTGGAAGTGGAAGGAAACCCAAATATGTTGTTCATGCAGCTGGTGATGTTGGAATATCAGGAGATGGTTACAGATGGCGCAAGTATGGGCAGAAAATGGTGAAGGGTAATCCTCATCCAAGGTAATTCCCAGTGTTACGTGTTACCAGTCAATGCTAACACATTAGTTAACTTGAGTTTGTTCAATACATTGCTCTGATTCGACTTTTCTTGTTTAGGAGCCCTCAAAAATTTACTTTTTATCACATAACTATGGTCTTGCAGCTCTAAATGGTCGTTACTTACTGCTTAGTAGCCTATCCAGCTTCCATCAGTGTGTATCTATATGCAGTTCTCTTCTGATCACTTAGTAGTATCTTGGGGATATTGTATTTTTCTATTATTATAGACTGGTCTATGTTTATGTCAGGATATATGACCTGATGCCCAAGTTGTTGCATTGGTTGCTAGTTACATCACTTGCCATTCATATCCAATAGCCCTGAATACAAAGTGAAACAAGAGAAAGAGGGAAAGGAAAATCATGCTTGTACATATCCATAAATATGCATATTTGTTTTTATTTCTTTGTTGGTGCCTATGAGAAGGCGCTTAAGAGTGGTTATCATATTATATTTTTGACTGCATCAATTTAGTTCTAAATAGGAAACCAAAAATGGGTTTACGTTGATAAGGATTCTCAGTTGTAACAAGCTAAAGGAGTCATGGGCGATACTATACAAAGCTTTTATTTTCTGAAATCGCTGTAATAACAATAAAATACAAATTGATCGCCTAGAATGAAGAATGAAAAGAATCAAATCGAGAGAGTATAATTGTTGCTGCCAAATTGGAGGAAGCTTTTCTCTTAATACTGAAATCAGGAGCCCTAAATATGTCCAGTGTTTCTTATGTATTGAAGTGGTTGTGTTGTCCAGCATTGCTGCAGAAAGACCTTGGAGCAACTTCATGGATTAGTATTCCGTACTTGTGTTATTTAGCAAAAAATTTTCGTGAATAATTAGAATAGATGTTATTTGCAGTGTTAGTTCTATATTGACACATTCAGATCCGAGGCACCTGTTGTTTTCGTGAAAGAGACATCCTCTTAAGTTGTAAGCTTTTCCGAAGAGAGGCTCAGTTAGCGGTGCTAATATTATAGTAAGATAAGATATGAAGAAAATAAGAGGAATAGGACATCCAAATCTTTTTAGCTTGGAGATGCTCAGAAACTGACAAGCTGCTAGACAGGTATAGATCCTGAAACATATGTGCATATATGATGGAATATTTTATGCATGGACAAGAATTATAAGAACTTCTCCTAAATGAACACATCCCAAAATAACTACCAGAAAGAAACTACGTGCACGAAAGCTCAGATAACACCAACACTTGAATGTTAAAAAGTTCATACTTGCTTCAATCTTCTGGAAGTAAGTTCTATGCATGTAGTTTAATCCTTGCAGCATCTGGGATGTGTACTACATCCAAGTCGAGAAAAGAGAACTAGGTTCCCCAGTTTGGGTGCAAGTCAAAATAATAAGTATAAAAAGCGCCTCAACCCCAGAGTGAATCATGGTGTGGACAATATTAAGTTGCCACATTGCTCATTAATGGGTGACACTTCATACATTAGTTCCTTTGATCTATATAAACAAGTTGCAGCTGAACTTTGAACTTTGAACACCAGATGAAAAAACATAGTTTTATTCATTGAAGTAATATATTTACTTATATCTGTCCATGTAGGTTTTCTAGCTATAATAAATAATATTCCTCTCTATTACCTAACAGAATCTAATGTAGACTACCGGCAGGTTGAACGAAATGTTATGATATGTGATTGACGATAAACTGCCTCTTACTATGACATCCATATGGCTACGGGCCATCTCATATTTGCATTTCCTCTTCCTCTCTTTACTTGTAACACCTGAATATTTATGTAAAATATTTGATTCTCTTCAACTTAGAGATTATAGCTCAAGTTGCATGGGAGTATTTTGAATTTACAACTGATCTCAAAATTTTCACCTTGTGTTGCGTTCTGAAAAAAATAAAAAAAAATAAAAAAATAAAAAAAAAATAAAAAAAAAAACTGTGCTACTCACTTTTGTCATGTTGAACCTGTATGACACATTTCATGTTGCTAAGTTACAGTGTATAACTGAAAAAGATTTCTTCAGAAACACAGAGATTCCGAACTCAATTCTCATCATACAGATGGTTTGTTGGAAGAAGTGGTTTTTCAGAGTCTACCACAATTATTAATTATTGTACCCACTTAATGCAAATTTTGATTAATCCATTATTCTTCAGCTGCGGCAATCATATGGGAAAGTTGTCGTGCTATAATGGAAGATTTGAGGAGCCTAAGTGTTTATCCCACTTTTAAATCACTTAAACCTAACATGTTTCCAGATTAGCTTTTTTTTTTTTTTTTT